ACCTTACTTTCACCAGTGTAAAAGCAACACTGGACATGGGGACAATGGGAAAAAATGCATTGCTGGTTGCACTATTTAGATCTGCAAAACTTCTTAAGCATATTTTAAGATAATATCTCTGTTGGGAATTAAGCTCATAACATACCCTGCTTGTTATTGAAATTAGAAAGTGTTGACTTTGGAAGAGTTCAAACCAGTAACCTGTAGGTAGGGTTAGCAGACCCTGACCCAGCCGTTTACCCAGGGTTCTTCAGATGCTTAAAAGTAAACAAAAATATCATACACTGCCAGTTACCATGCAAGTCACCTTCTGTTTTGTTCTTTTGGTTTTTCCTCCCTTCCTTCCTCCAGAATCAGCGTGATTTAAATGTGAATCTAGGAACTAAAATGTACACTGAATAGCTTTTATATGGTTATTGCCTCAGGGTTCCTTAGCTCAGACATAGCCCATCTGTTGTTTGTTACATGCTGCTGAGGACACAACAGTGTTATTTCTAGTGTTCACTATGCTCCTGTGCATACTGTTAAGGGTTTAACAGCCAGGTTTCCACCGGAGCAGAGGCAGCTAAATTTCTCCCAGTCCAGATGAACTGAGCTAAGACTGTAAGAATATAAGAATTGTATAATCTCATACAGTAATGCTGTATAAGAACCAGGATCCTATCTCTCACTGAGGCAAAGACCAGATGGCTTGGGAAGAGGTCAGGAGTCAGACAACATTAGTCTTGCATCCATAGTGCACCCTCCTATCTTCCAGCAATCTACAGCTCTAATTACCAGGTTGACTAGGTTTTCAGTCCCCTAGAAAATGTCCTCTTACAGCTCACAGGCTGACATGTGCCCTCAGATCACAAAACAAAGAGTTTTGGTAGCCTACAGTTCAGGCCTCTGTGTGATTTAGGGAGTCCGTAAAGAATCATGCATCACAGCGTGGCAACCCTTCACTAAGTCATTCTTAACTTTCCCCCGACACACTAGTAAGGCTGAAGGTCAGGTTTTCACAGGTCCAGCATTTGTGAAGGCTATCAGAAGACCACATGGAGCCTTCCCTTCCAGTTTTATCACCTGACAGGGGCTGGTGACTTGAGCTCTTCATTCATAGAAGCACTAGAGAAAATGTCAGCCACCCTGCACTGCACAGCGCTTTGCCTGATCATCGATATTGATGTTCCCTCCAAACAGGTTGGGACTTGGGCCAAAGTCTTCTCTGGTCTAAAGCTACTGACCTCACTGGCTTACTTCAGAGAATACATTTGTACCTTCTATACTTGTGCCAATTGGAACACGCTGAGCTTTGCTAGGAAGGTGAATTAAAGTGGTACTTTCCACGGTGGAATCCAGAGAAAGAAAGAAAATCTCAGTAATCCTTTATATTTTTAAAAGAGATCTTTCAACTGCATCTCGTTTCTTCTGGTCCTGCTTATCTACAGGGGTGGTTTAACACTGAAGTAGAAGAGTGCTGCACTGTGTGGGCATGCATACACTTGTGCATGTCTGTGCGCGCAGAGTAGGCAGGGCTGATGGACAGTGGAGGACAAACAGTGTGTTACAGTGTCAGGGCTAACAGGAAATATTACGGTGAGGAACAACACACTGGTCACACACACCCAGGGCACTGTGAAAGGAGAGAGAGAAAGGAATGTGAAGATGCCAGGTAAATATCTTTTATCAGTCATCCAACAATCATGTCATGGTTTTGCCCGTGGATCCCACTGTTAAATCCTTCCACATTGAAGAAAAGCACTCGGCCTCAGAGGGCAGAGTAGAGCTCTCTCTAGCAGGCGTTCTAAGCCAGCTTTTTGTGGACTGTGTTGAGGACTAGAAAAGGGAACATGAGATTTCCTCTTTTCTCTATAGGAGCTGTGCATGCCTGATTGTCTCTAGGCACAGTCTGGCCATACCCATTGCTTTTGCACGACAACCATTTTTTCTGTGATATCTGGCGCAGCACATATTACAGTTGCATCTTTTCCACCCATCTCAGCTGCTGTGCTTAACGTTGGTGGGAATTGTGTTCTAACCATGAAATGCTGATCAAAAGTGAGAACTTAAAGTCAATTACTATTATGCTTTAAAGGAAGAAAGTTATACAATAGCACTGAAACAGGAAAACCAGCTATTCTGCTTTGGGGTGGAAGGGGATGACACACCCTAAAAATATATTGTCTCATCCAAAGATTATACATTAGGAAGCCCTGGAGAATCTTCTTCACTGGACAAATTGCTTGTTTGACTTTAATAGTTACTACTAGAAGACAGCAACAAGAATAGCCTCTGAAGACTTAGCTATCTGTATCATTTAATTACTGTACTCTAGATCAGCCTCTCATGTTTCTCAACTGACTTTTGGGTCAGGTTGACCTTTTTACAGCCAAAGGAGCCCTCATTAAGATATCTGATCTCTTACTAAAAGTTAACTTGCTCAGGAAGAGCTTTAGCACACTATAAGCATGTTAAACAGTAGTCTAACAGCTTGGCATAATTTCCTCTATTAGTACCTTTAAATGTCAATCTCTCCACAGCGGGCATAAAGCATTAAGGTCTAGAAATCCACAAGTTTCCTCCCTTAAATATTATTTACAGCTGTTTATAACAATACTTTAAAGTGATACATATGTTTCATTCCATATATTCTTAGAATAAAGTCTGAATAGAAATTTCTGTATTTATCATGTAGCTGATGATTACCAATGGAATTTGTGAAGCTTTGCAGAAGGATGGAGAGTACCTTACCACATAAAGTTGGCCATGTCATGTGTGAACAGTAAAAATGATATTAATACTGTGACTAGATTATAAATATATTAAAATCTGTAAGTCTGCTCAGATGTAAGATCATTACTTTTTCTTTTGAGTACACAGACAAGGGTGAGGCCCCCAAAGTTATCATGAAGGGAAAAAAAAAAATTGCTTTTGAGAAAAGCAGACTATTTTGCCAGACTACTTGTAGCTCACCAAATTAACCAGGAAGGCAATGCTCTGACATAGTATTTTTAGCATCAGTTTATAAAACAATCAGCATTCTCTTTTTTTTAAACTCTAATTTCTCATTTTAAATGCCTCTCCCTCCCTGCCCCCCTTTTTATTTTTTTACTATGGCTTCCTTACTAACAAATTACGTGTACGAAGGCAAGGGTGAATGAATAAAGTTACTGCTGAAAAGTCCCCACTTTCTCAAGTGTTAAACCTGAAACTGCATGGTTTTAGTTCTTTCAATCTAGCTCTGTCCAGAGAAAGATAATTTAATGTGACTTTAAAGCTAGATTTTGCGTATATACACATAAGGAGAATATGAGGGAGTAGGGATGTCTTAGACTCCTGAAACTTGGGTCTGACAGCATGACTGGGTTATTCATGCTGCCTCATTAATGTACCTAACAAATGTATCTAATTTAGGAGACTAGTTTTCCTAGGTGATAGATGGAGACAGATCTTTCAGATGGTAATTTGAGGATGTTTGCCTTACACTGACTGTGAAGAGGCCAATGTAACTCCACTGATGATGCACGGAGCCTAAGAGGAGTAACCACCTATGTTAGGTACCTCATATTGGGCAGAGAGAATTTCCCCTTACACACTACCATGCTGCAACCTTTATGCATATGAGTAAATGAGTGGAGACAGTCTTTTACTCTTAGTGTGTTCAGTAGATTCAGTAGTTGCCTTTGGTGGGAAAGAAAAAAAGAAAAGAAAAAAGAGAGGAGTAAGGTGAATGACTGTTTCCTTGGGTACAAGGGAACAGCAATCTGTTCTGTGCTTCTGAGTAAGGCCAGTAGCACACTACTGCTTGGGCCTTGTCTTTGGAAGACACTGAAGCTTGACACACTGTGGAACAAACATCCAACTGAAAATTGCCAACTGAATAATTATCTTCACTGATTTTAGCCAAGGAAATGCATGGACAGTGGATAAGGCAGTTGTTTTAGCCTTTTAACTACCTCTACCCTCAATAAAACCTAGAATGCAAAAACCTCTTGAACTCAGTTTGTCTGTAACCATATTAGAAATCCCAGATCATGTAATGTACCTCTGCTGAAGGCAGTGCTGAAGACATCTGGGTCCTTGAAATGTTGGTTTGTGTTATGCTTTGAGTGGAAAGAGAACAGTGAAAACCAAAACCACTAGACAGTTTACAAAAATTCCAAGAAACAGATGTGGGTATTTTGAACTCCAAAAATACTTCCTATGTTTGCCAGTTACACATTAAGCCTAACCTGCAAAGCTTGAAAGTAGAAGGACTTATCATGGCTTGCAAGAATTAAGAAGTTGACTGGGGGGCGGGGGGAGAGAAGTAATGCCATTCCAGGGAATTTCAGCAAGAGGAGGGCTGCTGGCTATTTTTTCTACTGCCTTTCATTAAGAAAGAGTGCTGTGAAGCTGCACCTGAAGTGTCAGATGATGACTACAGCTGAACAGGTTTTACATTCACTGGTTACTCACACTGCTAACAGTAACTCCTAAACCATAGCATCCATTGCTTGAGTTGATTGCCTTTCCTGAACACAAAGGGGAAGATTCTCAAGGACACTTGACTTGCAGTGATGACTGGGCCTGTAACTCTCCCCTTGCTTTTGAAAATGTCCCAAGCCATTTAAAAGAAGGTTAAGAATCTCTGTTGGCAATCTGTACTGCTGCAATATTACTCCATATATCAGTGGACAGGACTAAGGCACTGACTTGACTGGAGGCTGAATGAGTTTCAGTACTCTGCAGTGCAAGTCAGGTAAATCAAAGTTCAGTGAAGGTACTGCAAGTATTCTAGACTCTACTGAGCTTTAGGACCTGTCAGATGACACAAAGGCACTCATGTCTAGACACTCCATGGTCTTACAAATACCATTTCTTGTGCTCTGCAACTGACAACCTATCACTCAGCTCTGGGTCAATCATAAGTGATCACACAAGACAGAAAATACAATACATGGTGTAGCACAGTAAACAGAAAAGGAACCAGGAGCTGATTAGCTGAAAAAAGAAGGAATGAGAAAAATGTCTCTTACCTGGTCAAGATTGTTGTAAAAATCTATACTGGCTGCACACAGGTATCTCCCAAGCAGAGTTGCATGGGTAGTAAAAATTGTGGCAACAGGAAGTTTCTGGGATCGAGACAGTATTAAACCCACTCCTGCCTGCCATTCATGGAAGTGGGCAATTATGTTGGGCTTGTCATCAAACTGACAGGAAAGCTGAAAATAATTACAAAGAACATACATGAAACATATCATCCTGCTCATCATCCCAACCTCAGAAGCCTCTTTTTTTCATGCCGCCTTCTGTGTGCTTGCTTTCTTTCATATGACAAAGCAGTTCAGCATTATAAGTGGTCACGTGTCTTGATTCCCATCAGCCCTAATCCTCAGCCCAAGAAGCACATGTGCCTCACTAGTGCCTCAGAACAGTATCCTTCCTAGAGTGTTGGGGAGCTCTGGCAAGCACAGTCACTCTTCTTTCTTTTAACTTGCTCTTCTGCTGTTGAAACTCTTGGTTGGATATGAAAATCATGAGCACCTCTGACAGACAGATGATTCTGCAGATTAACAAAGTTTCCTCTCTTCAGGTAGGCTGTGGTAGAGTGACATGTGAAGTCATAGTGCTGTCATTAATTCTTCCTGTTTGCCTCTATTCCCTGTGCAAGGTAGTATCTAATAGCTGAGATATGGCTTGACTGGCTTTAAGGACAGTTTGTGAGTGTGACAATTTGACTACCATAGGAAAGGAAAAGGGAGTTTGAGATCCTACCTGTAAGAGCATCCAGTGACCAATAAGGGAGTTGAGAAGAAACAGAGAGGAATGTCACAGTAAAGACACAGCAGATTTCACACAGGGCGGAAAAATAGTTAAATGACCATTTAAGATTTAAGTTTTAAATACAAGTTTGATCTACATCAGGTATCAACTTCTTTAAAATCATAATTTTCAAACTGGAGAATAGGAACCACAACCCAAAGCTTTTTGCCCTGCTGACAAGGCTGAGGTTTGAAAATCTCTAGATTTAAAAATTGTACCTCTTTTAAAAAACAGGCTGTTAATGATCCAAAAATCACAGCATCGTTGGCTTCTCGGTCATGAAAAGGGATCCCTATGTTGCTGGCATCCCAAAATTCGCCTTTCCATCTGTCCAGATTCCAGGCTGCTGATCCTATATCGAACAGTAAGACATATGGGCTGCCCTCTATCAGCCATCTTCCAAAAAAGACCTATGGGAAAGAGGCAAGGATATAAGCAGAAAATGTTAAAGTGAATGTAAAGTCCAGTTAGCATAACTATTTTCATCTATCAAATCTTAAATATTTTACATAAGGAATACATGATCATAGTCCTACATACCCAGGATTTGTGGTTTTCCTTGCAAAATACATGGAGTAATACTGGACCACAGGCAGGAGTAAATCTACAATCTTTAGGAGCAAAGAGGAGCAGGAGCAAACTACCGTCTTTAGGAACATTTTAAGACTTTCAATTTAGATTTTCATTGCTGTTAACTTTCATAGTCCTACATACCCAGGATTTGTGGTTTTCCTTGCAAAATACATGGAGTAATACTGGACCACAGGCAGGAGTAAATCTACAATCTTTAGGAGCAAAGAGGAGCAGGAGCAAACTACCGTCTTTAGGAACATTTTAAGACTTTCAATTTAGATTTTCATTGCAATGTTAACTTTTTTTCATGAAAAAAAGCTTAGGAAGACTATACTTGATTGAATAATGACGTCTTACATTCTTATTGAAGTATCTATGCCGTTTTTGTTCTTCTTTCAAAATTATTATTTGCTTTCAGTCAGATTTGTCACCAATCTTTTGCCATTTATACTAGATTACTGGTGATAGATTTTGTAGGACAGGTGCTTGGGACCTGTATCTACCATGACATTTCCTCATTCTGCCCAAGCAGCGCAGTTAATGCCCTTTGGCAGAGTGGAAGGATCAATCAGAAGGTGTAATAATACCTAAAACCACATCAGCCTAAAAATACAGCTTTCCTGCTTTATCTGCATCAGTATAGTTAAATACCTCTAAGAGTATTTAGAACTCCACTGATACAACCTACCTGCCCAACCAGAAGAGTAGGCTGAACTGTCATAAGGCAACACAACACAGCTGGGCCCACACTACAGATCGTACCAGTCTGCACAGTCAAATTATTTCACATTAATTCTACCATCAAAATGGCTATAGCAGCAGAGATATATTAACCAGGAAGAACGAGGTTAGTTCTAGGGAGGCTAGTGCAGTTTATACCCCATGCGGAAGAATCTTTTATGCCACTGTTCAACCTCCTTTCATTCACCAACCCCTGGGACCTCAGGGGTTGAACCCAGCCCTGATGCTAGAACGGGCTGAATAGAGGTCAAGTCTTGAAAACAATGAGATGAAAGCTCTTAGACCTGTTTGCACAAAAAATACAGATTGTAACAGACACAGGTGTGTGAAGGAGGGTCAGCTCCTTATGTACTTATTTCAGGCCATCAGGTTTCTTATTCAGGAAAATGAGGTTAAAGAGCAGGGAGTTTGTGTGAACCCAGACTTATTCATCTAAATATGGCATGGAACACACTTGACCCGAGAAGTCTGGAAGCGTTCCTAGGTCCCCTGGTTTAAAGGGATCCATTGTGATGCATAAGCAAAATCCAGACATAAATGTTAATAGGATAAGTGCAGCTCCTGGAAACTAGAACGTCATTATTAGAGATCAAAGCTATACTTGACGTACCTGGGACAGATTTGCTGCTATATATGAATACTCCAGCACCACAATGCACATGTTAGGTTGGCAGAGTTGGCTGATTAAACTGAATGTATTGCTGAACAGCATGAAACGTATATATAGCATTGCAATTAATCTGCCTCATGAGTCTTTAGCTGTTTTCCAAACAAAGGAGTGTTACACAGCTTGCAGAGACATCTCTTTGTAAGCAACAGAGGCAACATGGAAAACTTGATCAATCACTTATGAAAATTTCATTAGTAATAAGAAATGCCAGTTAGATTAGACCTTTTAGTTTGAACCTCAGCCTGAACAATGCAAGCATCACACAGTGTTAGTGTCCCCAACAGACACTTTCCAAAGCACATATACGTCCAACAATACGCTTCTACATAATATGTAATAGGGCATTAGATCCTAAGAACAGCAGAACTGCTGTTACAAAGGGAGGTAACACATCACCAGTGCCACAGCTGGTGGCAGTCCAAGAAGTTTATGAATTTCTACATTAAAGTGCGTCATGCCCCTCAGCAACAGAATGCTTCCTTGCTGCTGCCTCTCAATGCTTATGACATCTGTTTGGCACACATTATAAGCAGATAATTTTTCCTCCTGCCAACTAGCATCTCTGAGGGACTCAATGCTGAAACAGAGTGAAGGCGAGTTCTAGATCTCTGATGAGGACTTTCAAGAAAGGAGGTCAGATTTAGCATGTGTTATCTTCCACCCATTTTCAGGTAATCAGTTGTCCTCAAGGCTGCAGCTGCTTGCAGCTTAGTAGCTTGCCCATCAGCACGGTAGATTCTATTCCTTTCAGCAGATCACCTTTATAGGAAGAAGTTTATTCCTAATTCACTGTTGGAGAAACCGAGTCACGGAGAGGCTATGAGGTTTGACTGAGATCACACAGAAAACACTGGTTAAAAATTGTGTAGGAAACACAGATGAACTCACTTCTTGTGGTTTAACCTCTCTTCCTAGGGAACAGACAGTTAGTTGCACTGATCTGAGGAAGCAGATTCTTTGTCAGTTGGGTGCTTTTCTTAAGTCCACCTGTGGTTTGTCCCTTTCTGGCTTTCAATTCAACATAATGCTACATAAGAAAAATTGTGAGCTAGTGGAATGCTTTCCTCTCTCCAGCACAACAACGCCAAACGTAACGTAAGAGTTCAGTCAAAGTAAGGTCATATTATATATACTAAAATCTCACTGTATTTAGAGACTGGATAAATAAGTCATTAATCCAATTAAGTAGACTTGCAGATAAATGACTGTTAAAACCTGTAATTGGATAAACTGGTTCTTCCTCAAAAATAACCTTTAATGAATTGTCTCTGCTGTTCTAACAGTGGATTCTGAGCCTCTCCCATTGTGACATTGACCAGGACTGCTGTGTCAAGTGGAACGGCAAGAGCATTAACCAAAACTGTAATCTCCTCAGAGTCAGCTTTGTTGCCCTGGGAAGCAGTAGCACATCTGATTTACCTGACACCCTTGGCTTTTCATGGTGTCCATTGCCTTCTTAACTGCAGGGTTTGGAGGCTCACATGCTTCCACCTGAGTCTTCACATTGTGCTCAAAATAGGGACCAACGAGAAAATAGTTTTCACCCCATTCATCTGCTGTAATTTTGGCTTTTGTCTGGATCACAGTGTAAATGCCTCCCACTGCAAAAGAAGATCACAAAAAACAAAAAGTAGAAAGGGGCACAGGCCACAAAGCTCTGGAATAAGCTCCAACCAGTGGATCAGATACTCCTCTAGTTAAATCACTTCACATATTCGGATTTTAAGTGAAACCCAGACCCTACCAAATAAATAGAAGTTCAGTCTCTTAAATGGAATCAGAGCATCACAGTTCAATTTAGGAGGATGCACTGATAGCAGACTGTGTGCAATTCTTAAATGACAGTTTTACGCTTTACTTACTCCTGGGTGACTGCATATGGCTTCCCTGAATTTCTCCTCTAATCTCAAATGGATGCTTTCTATCCTTAACTTTTACTTTTATCTAGTCTGTGATTTTTTTAAAATTTCTTTTAGGTGTTTGAAGTCACACCACAAATGTTCAACCAATATATTATTTTATTCTTATGTTATTCCCCCCTTTTTGGATCTTGAAATCTTTACATTCAGATTGTGGGATTCAAATCCTGGGGCTCATGCTTGCATTCTCCATGCCTAATCTTGATTCTACTGCATCCCAAGTACAGCATTCTGCTTTTTTATTGCAGCCGTTATAATTTTCAAACATATCTTTTGTGATGTGGAAATACATGCGGTGAGAACTGAGCTGGCACTTCCAGCTTGTTTTATACAAATCACTGAGAGAAGTTGAGGGACTGATGGATTTCATTGACTACTGATTATAAAAATGGATTTAAACCAATATCCTCAAAGCAAAAGGTGTCATAGTCCATCACCATTCTAAAGAGTTTTTAAAGTCGGAAGGAACGTAGCCTACACTGCCAATATAAATGTCTGCAGCACCTTCCACCAAAATATTGTCCATTTTAAAAATAAACACGATATAAAACGTATAAGAGAATGCAACAACATCCCCTGATGAGTCAGTACAGATCTATCTAGTCTTGCACACAATATGCAAGATTCACTTAGCTGCTCTTCCTCACAGTTTTCCATAGCCAGCCCCATAATTCATGCATTGTCAGGGCAGCCTTGCAAAGCCCCCTTTGCTACAGGGCCCATGGTGCCAGGCAGTGGGCATTCCACCACTACAAATTTGGAAGAACAACAGCGGATGCTTGAATCCAGCGAGTGAAAGGGAAGGCAAGGGAAAAGAAAATCAGAGGCTAGGTAGCTGCTGTACATCGGAGACAAGTTTAGCATAGCTCCAGTGATTTTAAAGCATCGTAAGACACATGAAGCTCAACAGGTACAAGCAAACAACAAATGAAGCAACAGAAAGGGAATTAGTATTCCTACTTAAAAAAATTTCATCCTCCACTGAATTCGAAAACGTTTGGTAATACTCCAGGCAAGAGGGCTGTGCTACGCCTTTCAGCAGTGACATCAAAATTACATAAGAAGTCAGCACTGCAAGTTGCCAGTGAGTGATAGCAGGTACTCCAGACTTACTTTTTAAAAGGTACCAGGGCATCCAGAGGTGCCAATGCACTGCATCCAACTGCATATGGCAAGAATTTTCAGAGGTTACCTGATTCGCCTTAAAAATCTGCAGCAAATGACCACCATTTACAGTAGAGCAGCTGAAATTGCTCAGCACTTTGGGAGATTAGTTCCCAGATTGATTAAACTGTATCACCTGACAACTGCAGAAAGCCTTCTGCCAAGCCTGGTACCTTGCAGCCCTGAGGAACTGAACAACAGAGCTATGTTTTTAATTGTGCTCCTAGAAAAGAAATTGTGCACTTAAAACTTTTCTTTAGAAATATCCCATTTGTTTTGAATGCTTGAAGGGTCCCTAGCCCCACTATTTTTATGTCAAGATGTCTCAGGATTCTAGGTATTTTACAAAGAAAAACAAATGCAGTTCCAATCTCCCAGCTTGCTAAGTGGAATTATTACAATAAATTATTACCCTACATAGTAATTCAAGACCTAAGACGACAAGAATCTTACAGGTATATGTTCCTAAATCAAGGTCACAGTTCAAGAGTTTCACATCACATAGACATGGAAATGTAGAAGGAAATCTATGCATAAGACTATTCTTCTCCACTTGGACCAGAAAGCTAAGAAACTAACTTATAGTCACCATATTCTACCATGGCTGCTCTGGACAGGGATTTAGAGAAATCTTAGGTGAGTGACACTACGTATTTCCTCAAAGTTCCTCTGCTCACAAGCTGAGAGACTACTTGAATAGCTTGCATTCAGATAAACATATAATTTTAATTATATGGGACAAGTTAGAATGTTCAACCCATGAAGTGATGCAGTAACGATGACACGTCTGTTTTTATGGGGTGGTAAGTACGTCATATGAGCATAAGGCACTGCAATCCAACATGGATCAATAGGGGCTTGGTAGAAATCTTAGTCGTGAAACTGGTTGGTTTTAACTGGCAGAAATACTGAGCTTACAATAAGGAAAGATTTTTGTGCAAAGCAGCCTGGTGACCTCAGGAAAAGAGAAAATATCTACTTGCAAGATGAAAGATACTAAATAACATGATAAAGCTGTATATGACTAGAGTGGTGCAAAGCTCTTTCCCCACTGTCACAAGAGTGGAGATCAGCCTCTTTCACACTGCAAGGTGTTCAACATTGGGACCAGCAAGCTAGCTGAGTTTCCACAGCTATTAATTTTAAGATTAATAAGAAAGCTGCAGCTCAGGAGCTGAATAGAGCCTGGAACTTTGTCTTGTATAGCCAACGGCCGAGTGTTTCTTTTCACAAGGTTCTGCTTAGGATCACTCTGTGTCCTAAAGCGTGCCCTGCCAAAGACGTATGGAAGGCCTGTTCTGAGTGAAAGAGTGGAGAGTATGCTGTGCTCTGCCATCGTAACCTGTTGCACAGCAAGGTAAAAAACATTTCAGGGCACTGATTTGCCGGAAATGCAATGAAAAGTACTTAGGATAAAAACCAAAAGAGTACGTTTTACGGACTGTGAAAACTCTTCAGAAGATAGCTGCAATAAAAGCTCTGGGTTACCTGGTCCCAAAACTTGCTTTTGTCTTCTCCGTTACTGTGGAAATATGACTCACAAAGCATGTTTTGCATAAGCTTTAATTGACAGGGGAGTGAAAGTGTGCAAGTGAAACTATGTATGTGGAAAGTGTTGGGCATAACTTAAAGAAGACATCTTGAAAAGAACAGAGTGATGTCTAGAATAATGTATTAACTTTTGAAATTACACTTTTCCATAGCAAATTCAAGGAACACATTATATAGCATTACGAGAGAGCTTATATCTGCTCAGTTACTTTCAACTCCCTGGAAATACCTGTGCCAGTAAGCAATGCATTACATATCCTACTGAGGAACAGAGTAAGGGTTTACATATTCACTTGGAGCCTGACAGAATTCTCAAATTACTTCCAACAACTTGGTAAACCTCCTTATTCTTCTCTAACATGATGTTTTAAGGTCATATTATAAACAGAAAACCTTTCCAAACAACAGGAATGTACCAAAATCCCATGATGTTGCAAGCTTCTGTATGCAGCCTCTGAAGTTTTGTACTTTGAAATAGATTTTAAAACAAACAATAAAAGACAAAATGAGAAATAGATGCAGAATCAGGAGAGATCAGATCCAGAGAATTGGTTTGGATTGTCACAAACATGGGGAATTAGCAGTAAAATGTAGATACAGGGCTAGTTTAATGTTCTGATCTCCACC